TGAACCACCATTAATTGGTTTGCTTGCCATTACTGCCTCGTGGTTGGGTTCTTGAGCTAAAGTGCTAGAGGAGACAACCTTGAACAAAGAATCCGAACGGCAGTGGGGGACCCGCCTGCATTTAACATCTCCATGATTCCTCGTGCAAAAATGTCCAGGCATCTGAGTCGTGCATAAGGGAATCCATGTCAGTCCAATCGTCTTCTAGGTGCGATATTAACGCGACACACGCCAACAGGCTCTGCCACAAAGCGGACAACACATGTGTTTTCGTGGAAGTTGAAGTGTATTCTTGCGTAAAAAAGAGAACCCAGTGAGTAAAAAGGGGAATGCATGAAAAAATAAGCCATAGATATGCGAAAAACCAACGATACCTCATGTTCAATTCAATCAGGGCCGCCCTTTTGCACTCTTTCTCCCGCAAGCGAAGACGTTCAAAGACTCTGTAGATAATTTAAAAGGAAGTACAGCTGTGGCAGTGTTGCATGGGCTTTCAAATGCCTCACTGTATAATTACACATTTTCTCTCTGTAAAATAAACGTTAAATCTCACTTGGACTCTGGATCCATCGCAGCAGCGACATCTGCCGACTTGCCGGCACTGGCCAGTATTTCTGGGGTCTAAAACGGCAGAAAAACTCAGCAGCTTAATAGAACAGGTCAAAGAAGCTGAAAACGCCTGTCTACAAAGACCAAGACAAATCAACAAAAGTAAATACTACGACGACGGCTATCCAGCCAGAAGTGGCCATCCTAGTCTCCCTTGTTTTTGTCGGTAATGCCCTTCTGCCAAATACTATTATCTATCAGCCAAAGATTTTCATAGTCCGTCGGACGTTACGTTTACGGTCCGTAACGGTCAATTCGTTAATTTTTTTAGTCTCTGCTATTTCTTTCTATGCAGTACCATAATGGATGGCTGCATGAGCATCAACACCTATTTTCACCATAACGGTTTTGCTATTAAAGACCTGTCAGTAAGATGAGAAAACAGAAAAAATGATTCGTCAGAAACCCCAAGGGAGGAAACAACGGGTATACCTGTTCTCGCAGCATTAGGGAAATAATTTCAAGTGTGTGAAAGGCGAAATTCTCCCGCTCATCCTCCGCATTGGCCATAAACAGGAGGAGTTCATCCCATCCGGAGAGGTGCATAGCCCAGAGCAGTTGGTCGTGAACAGAGACATCCTCGTCAGTGCGCTGGTAAGGAGTAATAAGGATGATAAAGCCAGTTGGCAAGGGAACCTACGTACTCGGATGACGTATCAGGCGTGATGTGCAGCACGTTACGTATAAGGATCAGGATCCGCTCGATGAGGAGCCTATCATCATTACTTCGCTCCACCCAGGTCTAAAATGATCAAAAGATAAATGGATGGGTAATTTGCGGGAAAATAATGCAGAAAAGCATGCAAATGTTGTATGATTAACCACGCTGACAGCATAGGCAGTAGATGAGAGTGCAAAAGCTTGTTTAGCCGATATTCTGTTGCTTTGTGACAGCGCTGCGAAAAGTTCGGCTCATCCGTGGATCTCCCAGGCATCCCCTTGTGTTTTTAGGGGAAAAGGTGCCTCAGGACGTCAGATAAATTGGAGACCTGGCTGTTAAATAAATTTCGAATG